ACACACACACACACACACACACACACACACACACACACACACACACACACACGCCACCATCCCTCACTGTCCTGGGTCCCGCACCCTGCTAGGTCCTGCACCCTGCGTGCTGAATCCTGTGCTCTCAGTGTTTAGCGGATGCCCCAGCATCCCTGGGCATCCTCTCTGGCTCCGCCCCAGCCCGCGACTGCGCACTGCTCAGAGCCCCTCCCCCCATAGACAAACAGAGCTGAGCTTCGGAACTGAGTCTCTGAGCATTCTTCAAGCAAGCCTGCTGCCTGCTGGGCATCCGAAACCTTGGGCAGTGACGGGCGTAGGCTGTGCTATAGGGTCGAGTGGTATCCAGGAGGATGAAGCAGGTAGAGTTGCAGGGATGCTGCACTGGGAGGATAATGATAAAAAAGTCTCGGGGAGGTAGACGCACTGGCCTTGGAGCCTAAGACTGAACTGAACCCCTAGTAGTAAGGAGGGTGGGGAAAACCTGGGGTACTAGGGGAATGCTAGGAGGAGCACAGAGACACATCTGGGAAGAAAGGGCACTCACGCATGAAGGCCGCCTGTGCATTTCGGGATGGCCTGCCATCTGTCTGTTCCTTATGTTCCCCAGGGCCTAGTGGATGATACTGAGGATGTGTCCCTGGACTTCGGCAATGAAGAGGAGCTGGCCTTCAGGAAGGCCAAGATCAGGTATGTTGACGCATTGGTTCCAAGCTGCAAATTCATTCATTCGCCAACTCATTCATTCGAAATACACAGAGCACTACTGTGTGCATGAGTTATACAAACCCTGACCCCTTGGAGCCTAGTTTGGGGGCGGGGCAGCTAACTTACTAGGCAAAAACGTTAAGAGGGTTAGAAAGAAACTAGCATGATGGAGTAAGAGAAGGTTCCAAGGGATGTTCTCATGCTTTAACACAAGGGGCAAGTATGCATGAGCAAGGCCGTTCATCTTCGGTCAGATCACATGCCTACCTAGCACCTTCAGCACCGGAAGGCAGCAAGACCAAGATGGAGAAGTAACTTGGACGCACGCTTGTCAGTGGCCTAAACCCCTGATCATTCTAGAAACATTCACAGCTCAGCCACGCCCACTTGTCCATCTAGCACGTCTCTTCTTCCAGCTTTTAGCACTAGCATACTTAGAGGCCTAGTACCTAGTGCCTTCCCTTTATTTTTTCTGGTACTGGGGATGGAACAGAGAGCCTCGCTCATTCTATGTAAAAGCGCTACCTCTCAACGATGCCCTCAGCCGTTCTTTTTATCTTCCCCTTCCATCTGATCATCTGACCCAAATACAACCTCCTCTAAGAACAGAATAAGTACATTAGCTCCCCATCGTCACTGTAACAATTGTCATACATCTGCTGGTTTCATGTAGCTCAGTTGGTGGAGTTGCTGCCTAGCACGAACAGACCTCCAGGCGCCATCCTAACCACAGCATAAGTGAGGCATGGTGTTGTGCGCATGCGCTCCTCGTACTTCTCAATCATAAGGGCGTTTGTGACATTATCTCAAGCCTACTTAGCAACTGAGGGTAATTTACACCTCAGGATCCTTTGCTGTGTGAGGTCTGGGCATGGAGCTCAGTTGTAGAGTGCTTGCTCAGCAGGCATGAAGCCCTGGACTCTAATCCATTCCTACCACTAAATAAACTGGGCCGAGTAGCACACGGCTGTAATTTCAGCTCTAAGGAGGTGGAGGCAAGAGGATCAGAAGTCCCTGGTCACCCTCAGCTACTCTGAGTTCAGGACCAGCTTACACTACATGAGCCTTTCTGTCTCTCCCTGTCTGTTTCTGTCAGTCTCTCTCTCGTTGTCTATCTTTCTCAGAGGCTTTTCTAAATGAAGATCCCTTTCCATACCATGTGACATCCACAGGTTCCAGAGATTGGGACCTAGATATTGGAGGCTCATTACTTATCCTTCATGCTGCAGTAATTGGAATCCTAAGTGAAGGACTTTATAGAGCATCTAAACAATTACATGCTCACTGCCTGGTAAATAGCACTTGTAAGCCTGACCCTAGGCTGGTGGCTGGGCCTTTGTAGAACACAGGACCAGCCCTTGCCTATAGAGTCGCCCAGGCTAGTGTGTAAGGACACTCTTGCCATGTAAAGGTTAGGCCCTGCTTTGTTGTGGGGCTGCCCTGTATAACCCTTGCTTGCTTGATTTCACCTGGCCTTCTCTTCCCTTATGCTGCTCAGGAGCCCCTGCCTAGGGAATGGTACTACCCACAGTGGACTGGGTCTTCCTCCTCCCTTAATTAAAAATCAAAGCAATTCCCCCAACCCGATCTGGATAATTTCACATTAAGATTCAAGTAATTCAAGGTTGTAGCAGGCTGACAGTTAAAATCAATGAGCCCAAATGTATTCGTTAGATATAATGTGGTCACTAGCTACCCGTGTCTACTGAGCATTGCATCTGTGGATAGAGTTATGGAATTTGGTCCTGTTTAATTTCTATGTAAATTTAAACACCCATGTGCAAGAGCTGTTTTTCAGTAAAGGATCTGGCCATAGCAGTGTTAGGGTTAAGACTGCAGGATGAAGACGGTGCCTTAGTCTTTTTCTTGTTGCTGTGATAAAATGCCTGACAAGTTAGAAAAGGAAGCTGCTTAAGGAAGAAGGCTTAGTCTGGCTCACAGTTCAGCAGCCAAGTGCATCACACTGTGGGAGTCACCATGGCAGGAGCTTGGTGCAGCTGGTCACAGTGTCTCTCTAGTCAGGCAGTATGCTTGTGCTCAGCTCCATTTCCCTTTTTTATAGGGTCTAGGATCACAGCCTAGGGAATGGCACTGCCCATAGTGAGTGACTCTTCCTACTTCCATCAGATTACTCAAAGTAACTCACACTGGGCATGCTGAGAGTTCTGTGTCCCAGGTAGTTCTAGATCTCCTTTAGTTGACCATTGAGATTAGCCATCATAGACTGGTTTAGGGGCAGAAGAAAGCAAAGGCTGGGAGGGTGGCCTAGGACACCTGAGAGGTATAATCTACCTTCAACAAATGGTGGTTAAGGTGTGGAGGATGGAGAGGGAACTGGAGAGATGAATTAGTGGGTAAGAGCACTTGCTATGTAAGCATGGGGACCTGGGTCAAGCAGGAGGATCCCCAGCACTCACATAAAACGTTGAATATGGCTGTGTGCATGTGGCCACTAGCTTAGCCAAAGAGGGCAAAAACAAAGTGAGGTGAGGTCCAGGTTCAGTGAGAGACCCTGACTCAAGGTCCTTTCCTTGCCTCCCTCCCTCTCCCTCTCTCTGTCTCTCTCTGTCTCTCTGTCTCTGTCTCTGTCTCTCTGTCTCTCTCTGTCTCTCTGTCTCTCTCTCTCTCGCACGCACACACATACACACACACATACACACACACACGCATGCATGCACACTCATGTGTGTATGTGCACAGGCGTGCGTAGAGGACAAGTAGTCAAGGATGGTGCTCATGCTTCTTGGTCTGGTGGCCAAAAATTAAAGAAAAGCTTGTATAGCAAAGATACTAAACTTGGAGTGTTCCTTAAGAGACTATCACGGAACATTTTAGTAGCGAGTTTCAGTGGGCAGCGGGGAGGAGCACCTGGGAGCTGGAGGAATTACATTTTCCACAGGTCTGGAGGCAACTGCTCACCAATCTGTTTGAGAACCAATCCCAGAATCCTCTGATGTGCCACTGTTGATTGATTCATCAGCCTGCCTGGGGATTTAATGGCATTCACAAGGGATCTGATGTGTAGGCAATCCTGTTCATGAATGCACTCAGCATTTTGCAGAACTGAGTTCTTTATCTTGTTTTGGTTTTAGTGTGGTTTATTGAGACAGGAGTTCACTTTACAACCCAACTGCAAGATCTTCCTGTTTCCACCTCCCAAGTACTATGATTATAGATGTCACCTGTACACCTGGCATAAACAAGTACTATGATTATAGATGTCACCTGTACACCTGGCATAAACAAGTACTATGATTATAGATGTCACCTGTACACCTGGCACAAACATAAAGAGGATTCTATTTACCTACTTACCTACTTACTTACCTACTTACTTACCTACTTACTTACCTACTTACCTACTTACTTACCTACTTACTTACCTACTTACTTACCTACTAACTTACCTACTTACCTACTTACTTACCTACTTACTTACTTACTTACCTACTTACTTACCTACTTACTTACTTACCTACTTACTTACCTACT